CAGAGGAGCTTGCCGAGTGCTGGCGTTCATGGTGGAGCGAAACCTGTCAATGTACTTTTTCGCCTTCTTGCCCTGACCAATCTTAAAGCGGCTCAGGATGAACTCGGGCGATGAGTTGGCTTCTTGTTTGTACCATAAGATGTAGTCTAAGTTCCCCGCTCCGTCATAGCTGCAGTCCAGCTTCATTGCTGCACCCTCCACGGTGTGGGCGTCCCGTTCCGGCTGGTGCACCGTCTGGCTGCTGATTCCTGTCACAAAAAGGCAACAAATGCAGTCAGGCATCAGTTGAAAGTGGTGTTGACCTCAGATGACCTTACCAAGACTCCAAGCAGCCATCAGCGCACATAGAAGGGCCTGACTCATGTCTACACTTGCAGTGTGAATGTGCAGACATGAGACTTGTCGCTGAGGAGGGTTAGGGTTCGGGGCCTTCGCTTCCTGTTGCAGTGACATCACAGACGCAAATTCCTAATCGAGCGCTTGCTGTGCGGAGAAGAGTGCCCCCCTGAGTCACAACAGCGCACTGTGGTTCGTCATTATCTTGAGTTGAATCCTATTAATTGACAAGCAATAAATGCGTATTTAATTAACACATCATTGTTTCACAAAATGTTATTTACATTTGTGTAACCGAGTGGAAGAAAAGCCCCTGCCCCCTTGTTTTACCTCCTATTTCCCACCTCCCTAATGGTAGGGTAAATATTCCCACCTACGGAATTCTGTCAAATAGAAATTGCATCCATCCATCCACAGCCATCTCGTTACGTCTGCATCCTGCGTCCTCGACGCATAATTTTCCCGACGCACAGTTCCAAATAATGTGCGTTTTTGGGACGCAAGGAAATTTCTCAGCCAAAACAAAACAACAAAAAAAATGATAACGTTATTTGCGCATGCGGGTTGCTATTTTAGTCCACAAACTGAGGAATTGCGTGGATGAAAGTTTGAGATGGCGGCGAAAAAACCGAACAAAGTTCGACTAATTACGACATTTAAGAAATAGGAATGCCAGTCAGATTTTTCGTATGAATCGTCCGAAGGGTGTATCACTAAATTCACCTGTGACGTACGCACAGGGCACGAGAGCGAGATATGACGGGAGGCACGATTGCGAGGCAAGTTGGTCATTACATCTATAGCCTAATCGCTATGAAAAATGTTTTGAAACAGTATTGGTTATTCTATAATTTACTGGTTGTAGCATGGTAACTTTAGGAATAAAACATTTGTCACAAGGTGTAGTAGTGCTAATGTTTACTGTTGGTAGAACTAATGATGACGTGTTCGATTCTTTCATAAAATTGATACTAGATGACACATGCATCGTCTTGGGAAGAGGATGTCAAGCCACATCAGTACTTACCTGTATTAATGATTACCAGTAAATGAATCTCTGCAGTGTGAGATTGTAAAAAAGACTCTGATTTTTGTGGTATGCTGTATTCATGATGACATCTGAGTACACCACATTTCGATCGATTTATTTTTTTGAATAAACCTGGAGTACACAGCTGCTGATGTAATGTTCATTGTTAATTCATATTTTTCAAACATTTACCCTTGAAACATGACACTTTCGAGTTTCAGAATTCTTGATTATGAATATCAGTCAAAATAGAAAAATGGGTTCCCATGATGAACGTTTACGGAACCCAACATTAGTTACCGTGGTTTCCCATTGGATCATCCGACGGAACCGAAAAACGGTTACCGTGAATTTCCGAAATCCTCAGGCCTGCAACTGAATTATTTAAATTTTTGCAGCATTTGTTTATAATTGTATGTATATATGTTGTTGCTTGTGTAATTATCATAGGCAATTGAATAAGTAGACCATTTCAGAATTCCAAATTTGGGACTCTCTCAATGCATAATTGGACTCATACTTTTCTGATCAGCGAGTCCCTGGGACTCACTGCCGGTAAACTGTAAAATTATCACTGAGAAATTAACGCCTTTTCTGCACTCAGTGATTGACTTCTATGCAAAGTCATTTCTTAACTTGTCTTCCGTGCCATGTCATGCCTGTTGAGTGTTGATTTACTTCATATTAAGAAACTACTGCACTAAAACATTCATTCAGAAATGTATATCATGTGCTTTTATTTATTTTTTCTCAGTATAAATAACACGTGCCCTGACTGTTCTACTCTTTGAACAAAAACACTTCGTTCAAACGTTAGGGAATCTTTGAATAAAAACACTTCGTTCAAGCGTTAGGGATTGCAAGGGGTTATGATGGAGGGGTGTTGAAAATCATGAAGACCTGCCAAGTGGTATGATAGGATTGTTTTATACATGTCCTCGGCTTGGCCTCAGCTTCAAAATCAGTCCTTGGTCCTTGTCATTGGCCTCGGAGTCCTTGGCTTTGGGTTGCCGGTCCTTGGACGCAACACTGGCAAAATGAGAGTCTCAGAGAGAAAAGTGATTTGAAAGGTGGCTGTTCAGCATCTCCGAACAGCATATGGCAGGGGTGTCAAAGTCAAATGAACGGAGGGACGAATAAAAAATTTTGCTGCAAGCCGAGAGCCGGACTGATCAAATGTTCATTGAAAAATGTAACAATTACCACATATAGTTTATTGAACCAAATTTAAACGACTGAAAACCTAACAAATACATTCCAATATGATCAGATAAATGAAGGAACATTTTATTATGGGTCTGTCAGTAAACTTAAATTTTCAACCGGCACAAAAACGAATTACCCTTGTACAAAAATACCCATAACATGGGCGTCATTAGGCCTATTTTAGGGAGGCTTCAGCCCCCCTAAATAATTTCATTGCATTATTTTAAAAAAAGTATTATTTATTTTTCCTGTACTTTTGCTAATATATTGCATCAAATTCAATGTAATGTGGCCATTTTAAATTATATTTCGATAACCTGCCATTATTGTAATGTTAAATCTCCCAGGTTTCCTGAACGCAACAGGTGTTGCGTT